CGCAGAAATAGAAAATAGATTATTTCAAGGTAACAATACTGCTCTTGTGAAAATTTCAAACCAAATAAATCACGGTAACATCTACTGCAATGATGAGGTGCTTGAATATAATGATACGAAACCAAAGCGGCCTTTTCTTAAACGCGGGGAGGGTATTAAGCAGCGTTATAAAATTTCTCCGGAGTCACTGCGACTGAATAATTTACCACGCTATAAATACGCTACAACACATCCAAAAATTAAAAACTTGCATCGACGCAGACTAGCTCCTAAAGCAAAGCCTTCACTGGAAGATGCAAACGAAAAACCAAAATCAGTCGAAACGCTTAAGGAATTAATTAAGCATGATGATAATGAAAAACAATTCGAACGAATGTTGACTCAATCAAGGCCTGGCTATAGCTCAACACCTGATACCAAATATTCAAAAACTGCCTTCTCGTCAATTTCTATTACTCTACCAAGTGTAAGATTGCCTCAAGGTGCAACCATTAATTCAAACTCATGTGAAAAATATGATGAAAATTATAGGGAACAAGTTGAGCCCTTTGTCGCCATAACTTGGTCAAAAGTACTCGACTCGCAACAAATAAATCCAATTCCAATAAATGAAATTCGAGCTATTACCGCTAAAACAGAAAATGAGATGAACCCTAGTAAAAATAACAACATAGAAGATGATGAAAACTTAAGCATTTTTGAACTTCTAGAGCGACAAGCAGCTCAAGGAGCAATCGACATGAACTCTAGTTGTGTGAAAAAATTTATGGATCAGAAAGTTCATTCTGAGCAGAATGCGGAGGACGAAATTGAAATTCCTATAGGCAAGCGCTATACAAATGACAGTTTGCGACCTGCAGTTGAAGAAGTTCTGAGAGACGATTCAGATGATGATCATAGTTCTGAAGGAATTGAAGAGAAAAGTGTACGGTGTCAAACGCCTGGGATTTCTACTTACCTTAGTGATGAATCGAAAACTGATTCAACATTAAACGTCGAAAAGGCGGATTTACATGTTCGTTTTTCCGAGCAAAACACCACTTGTGAATATTATAATCGTGATGACATAATATCAAATAGCTCAATAATGTTGGAAGAGGAAACATCATCCAATACGAATTCCGACTTATTTCATCAGTTCAAGGATGCACTCCTTAGCGCATTGCTAACTAAGGGCGATGGTGACGGCAACAGTACAGAAAAGAAACTAGTGATGCAATCACCACCATCTGCGCTTACGCAAGAGCTGCAAGAAAAAAGTAATATAATCAAGTTAAGACTCGAAGAGCTGGAAAAGGAAATAGCCGTATTCAAAAACAACAATATGGAATTAATGCGCGCTAAGCAGGAGTATGAAATGGAACGTGCACATTTCAGTCAGGAACGTAATGAAGCGCTGGATCGATTAAAAGACGATAAAATTCAAATGGAAATGTATCTTCACGACGAACGTATGAAAATTGAAGAAGAAAGACGAAAATTTGAAAATCAAATACGCGTGCAGAAACAAACATTGGCCAATAAAGAGCGGAAAGAAATTGCTCGTCTAAGAGAAGAAGTGGAAAGCTTACAAATTCAGCTAAAGCAAAAGGATCAATTACATGCATCTGCGCAGGCGCGATTACGTGTGCAAATCCGTAACTTGGAACGTGATCAAAAGCAATTATATGATGATATTGAACGCTTGACAAAGGAAAATAAGCGTCTGCAAAATGAAAAACAAAAACTTGAGCGAGAAGGCAACAATAAAATGCTAATGGAAATAAACAGAAACATCGCTAAGTTAGCACCAAAATTGGTGAGTAAAAAAATTCAAAAGTTTTTTTTTTTAAATCAAAAGCATTTTGGTAAACCTGATATAAGCATGTAAATGTAATGTTAACCAATTTGTCTATAGGCGGCAGCTAATTCGTGCAATACGAGCCCGGAATATCCCGATTTGAATACTAGCTCACATAGTAAAAACATGAAAACGACAAACTCACCCAAAGACATTCCAAAATCAAACGGAAAAGTTCAACGGTTATTGAAGGCACCACCGAACACTCGTAATACCAGCAAAACAGATATAACGATCGATGACGGAAATTCATGTACTATGCATAAGACTGAAAAGCCCATTCGACAATTTGAATCCGAAGCTGAGCTTGCAGATGACGATGATGATGATATTATTTCCGAACTTCAAATGACTCGTAATAGCAGAAGTGTAAAATCGTTTCAGGGTTCATCGCGTTCAAACACATCGAGAGAAACTGTCGTTTTAAAATTCGAAAGAAATAAGGATGAGGATGTGCAAAAGGATAAAGTGGAATCAATAGCTGGAAGTTTTGATAACGAAAAGGGAATCGATAAATGCCGCACCGAAACAAGTGAAAATTATCGACGAGAAATTATCAATCCAGATGGTAGCAAGGACATTTGGTACCCGAATGGTAATTTAAAAAAAATTTCTTCCGATGGAATGAACATAAGGATGTTATATTTCAATAAAGATATAAAAGAAACGAATGTCAATGAAGGCACAGTTAAATATTACTTTGCCGAAACAAATACCTGGCATACAACGTATTTGGATGGATTAGAAATTATCGAATTTCCGAATGGTCAAACAGAGCATCGGTATAAAAATGGTGTCGTTGAAATTCATCTTCCAGACCATTCCGTAAAAATTATCAATCCCTCAGAAAAAGATAAATTAGAGGAGTGGCGTTTTGCTGATGGCACAAACCTGATACAAATGAGAAATGGCGATAAAGTTTTGATGTTACCCAACGGTCAAAGGGAGATACATACGAAACTCAATAAACGTAGGGAATACCCCGATGGCACTGTCAAGCTTGTTTACCCTGATGGAAGCCAAGAGACGCGGTACTCTAATGGACGCATACGATTGAAAGATAAAGACGGAAACCTTGTGATGGATACCGAGAGGACATAAAATAAATATGTGGTGTGGGAAGTTATATCAGCTCTGTGTTACTTGTAAAATTAGTACATACTGTAAACTAACTTTAAAAAAATTACTCGTGTTTGTACAAACAAAAACATTTTTATTAAGACATCCTTTAGAAAATAAACATATGATAAAAATTATTTTAAACAAATTAGTCAAACTTTCCATTAGAAATAGGATCGTCTTCTTCCTCTGGCGGATCAAAATCTCGTATTTTCACATCGGCGTCCTCTCCATATTGTATGACATTGTCTATTTGAAGAAGTAAATCCTGTATACTTTCCTCATCGTCAATGTTCAAGGGAACAAATCGAACTAGACTGAAAATAGTGAAAATATGAAATATGCTCGGTACTTTTTTAACATTTTGTTTGTGTTTGAATGACCCTATTATGATAGTTGTTTTTTACAAATATACAGTTACTCCCAAAATGAGCGTACGCCGCTTTTTTGTTTATTCGCAATGTTTTACATGCTAAAATTTTTTTGTTAATTTTGTTTTAAGATATATTTAATATGCAAGGGGGGCTACTGTGTAATGCGATGCGATAGGCAAAAACATCGTAAGTCCCCTTTCACAGCGGCTACACACGACGAACATATCCGCGCACATGCGCGGCTTGCGGGTCATGTTCGTCGTTTGTAGGGCGGTTTGCGATCATGCTCGCCAAAGATCAGAACTTACAGGAAGTCGTTCCTATTGACATAAAACCTGTAAGTGGGAACACTTTTGAGAGAGTAACTGAGCAACAACTGTTCCTAGTCAGAAGTTACAGGATTTAGTCCGGAGTTTCTTTTCCTGTAAGTTCATGAAAAGTGTCAAACGATCAGATGATTTGCATGTGCAAACAAAAACAATAAACGGTGGAAGCAAAGAACCTTATCATTTATAAAAAAAAAATGGAAGTAAACAACGAAATGTTTGAATATGTATAGATTTTAATAATTATTTAGTGATATTTCAGCCAAATCAGTGTTGTACAAATGACATGTAAACAAACCGACTGACGTTTTTACAGGAAATAGTTAGTCTGTTCCTTTGAACTTCGGACTAAAACCTGTGGAACTGTCAAACTACAATTTTACGCTCTCAAATTAGAGTAAAAGGAGAACAGATGCAGAAGTGCATAGGAACGCAAAAAGCACTATTTCCTGTAAAAACGTCAGACGGTTTGTTTACATGTCATTGGCACTACACTGACTTGGCTGAAATATCACTAAATAATTAATAAAATCTATACATATTTAAATATTTCGTTGTTTACTTCCATTTTATAACAAATATTAGGTTCTTTGCTTTCACCGCTTTCTGTTTTTGTTTGCACATGTAAATCAGCTGATCGTTTGACACTTTTCATGAACTTACAGGAAAAAAATCTCCGGACTAAATCCTGTAACTTCTGACTAGGAACAGTTGCTCAGTTACTCTCTCAAATGTGTTCCCACTTACAGGTTTTATGTCAATAGGAACGACTTCCTGTAAGTTCTGACTAAATCCTGTAAACCGGACTGCTATTGGAACAGACTAAGTGCTTTTTGCGTTCCCGTGCCCTTCTGCATCTGTTCTCCTTTTACTCTCACTTGAGAGAGTAAAATTGTAGTTTGACAGTTCCACAGGTTTTAGTCCGAAGTTCAAAGGAACAGACTAGTTGCGTTCCAGATAACATTCAAAAGTGTAAAACTTAAAACGAACGAAAAGTCATCACAAAGCGTTATACTGACACAGTTTATTGATTAAACAAATAACTACTTATTTCTTACAAGTTTAATTAGTCGCATTTTGTAATTTTTAACTTCCAAACCATCAAATTCAATTTTGTGATTTGCGTAAATGCCAACCAGCTGTTTTCCTGTTGGCAAAAATTTTTTCCAGCAGAAACCAGCAGCTTCCCCCAAAATGAAATGTCTCTCAATTTCCCCTACTTTGCAAGTTTTTTGCGTACGCGAACGCAAAAACTTGTAAGTTTTGGTTAAACATGAACAATTAACAGCTACGCGAACGCAACTATTGGCTTTGTTTCTTTTCTTTTCTAGCAGATAATTATCAGGAAGAAGGAGAAAATTTAAAGAATTACGCTGGCAGAGAGCGAAATAACGAAAAAGTAAAGAAACGCAAAACTAGCAGAAACTAGCAAGTAATCAGCTGATCGGTGTATTTGACTAATGAAAATATTTGGCGTGAATTTTTGTTTATCCATTTTGACAGCTGCCAGAAGAGCGTAAGAACGAGAGAGAGCTGCGAGTTTCTGCTAGCTTTTTGGGTTAAGAAACGCTTTCCAGCAGAAATAAGTGATAATTTGTGATAATTATCTGTTAAAAAACAAAGCTATTATTGCATAATGACCTGTGGCCCGTTTCTGTAACTTTTCTCTACCAATTATTTCTCTACTGGTAGAGAAAATACGTCACTCTCACCTACTAATTAGCAGTAGAGAACAGGGCGGCGAATTCATATCTCAATTCACCTTGGTAGAGAATTGTTACAGAAACGAGCTACTGGAACGGCTTCCTGTAAAAACCTGCAAATCCTGAAGCAACTGGAATGCAACTAATAAAACGTCAATCTGGCAGCACATACATTGCAGCCAACATAAGAACAGGAATTGGTGCAGCCATTTTTTGGTGCGAAAAATTATGGCATTTTTCAGACAGAACGCACTGTAAAACCGAAATCACTCTGCTTTTAACTCTGTGGGAGATTTCTTTTGCAAAATCGAGAATACAAAATATCAACAAGCAGTGATTCAAGAACGATTCAAATATGCCTCAAATGGATATATCACAAGTCCAAATGGTGCGCTCTGCAAAAGATGTTGACATGCTATGTGTCGACAATTTTCTCTATCATTTTGTCGATCGTGGCAAAAAACAAAAATGCCGGTGGGTTTGCAATAAGTTGAAAAGCAAATACCAACCGTGTCGATCGCGTATAGCTACTGTTATTGTAGATGGTGACGATAGCCAGCATAAGATAGTACGAGTAACAAATGAGCATACGCATGAACGTTGCACTGAAAAGGAAATATCTAAGGTGGTTGAACGAAAGCTCCGAGCAAACTTGGCCGGAAAACCGTGCACGCTGAGAAACAAACGAAAATCAAATGCTTCAGCGGAAGAACATGAAGATGAATCTAACTCAAATATTCAATATGACGAAGATATGGAATCAGACGAGTGGCCAGCTGATGATGATGACTTCTTTCCTAAGCAAGCTAAAATTAGTAAAAAGCAAACTGTTGCAAATTCCGATGATAGACAGTCAACCTCTGGTTCAGCGAAACACTTTTTCAATTTCGAGGTATAGTATATGTATTGACAATTTAAACACTTTTCTAGAATATTTCGAAAAACGTAGCTAGCAATAATAAAAAAGGTACATATCGCACGTTTAATAATATAGAGATGTAACTAAAAATTTACGTTTTTGAGATTTCATTATCCAATTAATAAGCTATATAATAATTACAAAACATGCGATATGTATATTCCGAAATTCGAGTGGACATATCTCAATATTATAGATTAAATAGACGTAATTCGATTAATATTCGAAGAAAGCCGCATATCAACTACTATTTTAAAAGAGATACGACTTGTATATTTTTGTCGAGTTTTGTCTTCCGAGATAAGTCTTTTTGAATTCTAAGCCCTAACAGACTTTATTTTCGAAGTGGGTTATTTTAATTTTTTTACAATCAATTAAATTTATGTACAGGGAATTTTTAGCATAATTTTATTTTTCGCAATTGTTTTTATAAAAATATGGTATAAAACAAAACCCATAAAAATCGGAATCAAAAAGAGAACAAGGGATGACGGAATTTTATTCGAAAACACATCATTTACTTTAGAACGGATTTCTATTTTAAATTAAAACGTCGCTTCTACAAATGTCCGAATTCGTCCTTTATGTCCTCATGCATTGATATCGATGAAATACTTCTGGTTGTATGGCTATAACTTACCTATTAATGTATATAATTTCTTATTATCAACTCATTAGAAACAAAAATTATACATGCTTAAAACTGCTCTTGGACGCCAAATGATATGCGTGGAAGGATTTCTTTACCGTTTAGAATCCAAATCTATAACTTCGAGCACTCATCGATGGGAGTGCATAAAACAAGATCCTCCATGTAAAACTCGTATTCTCACTGAGTGTATTTCAAATAACACTCATCGCTTAAAAGGCCATCAGCTGGTATCACACAAACACGACGCTTATACTCCATTGAAACTAACAAAATTGCTTCTTAAAAATAATATAACCGTACTAAATCAAAAAGGGGAAGCAGATAAGAATTTTCATTCAATCGAAATAGTGGATTTATCAGAAAACGAAGCTTGTGCTACACCTTCAAATAAACCTCCGAAAAAACGCATAATGGAAAGTCTCAATGCCAAAACTATAAACCAGCGCAAACGATTACGAACAAAAGCAAAACCTGTGACCTATACCTATTCAGCAGATCCCCTTGCAGCTTTGTCTACTAGTACAAAAACTGATTCGTACAAAGCGAAATTCACCTTTTTGCCATCAGCAAAGGGAAATAAAGTTCTCTGTCTTGACAATTATATTTATCATTTGGATACGAGAAGTCCCCGTAATGGACGCGCATACTGGACATGTCTCTTACGCCGCGACAAGTTTTACAAGTGTAATGCGCGTGTCACTACGGAAATGACCCATAAGGGTCCTATAATAATACGGGTCGCTGGTACACATTTGCATTCGGATCATTCTGAAGATATTAAGCGCCGCTTATGCAGAAGTGTTGTGGTACAAAACGCTGAGAAAGCAGGCCTTAAAAAGGAAAATATATTTGATGAAAGTGGAAATGAATTGAATCAAGAGTTCAGAGAGATTGTGGAAAAATCAAAAGAAACCATTGAACGTAGCATCGGGCGTTTAAGTAAACAAACGAAAGACGAAGAAGAACAAGGGACATCAAAGAAGTAAGTGGTTCTGAACTCAGTCACACTTTTTGTTTCTAACTAGACAATTATTTTTAGTATTACTTCAAAAAGCATGCCTTTTAATGAAAATACGTCTTCGAGCCTCTCCAGTGCTTTAGACTCTGATGATGATCACCTAGATGACACATCTACTCTGCCCACAAAGTTAGAAGAAATGTGTAAGGACACTAAAACACAACCTTCTTTCAAAACCGAAGTAATCTACAAATCTACGTACGACGATTTGGCAGATGCAGAAGATGAAATGGAAGTAGAATATTTAGATATAAATACGTATACGAATGATGAAGATCATTTGGATGTAAGTGCATGCACGAATGATGATTTCTTAGATTTGTCTAAGGAACGTCAGAAAGCTATATTAAAGTCAAGCTTAACTAACGACAGTGAAATGAATGTGAACAATGTATCAACATTGCGCTCAGCTAAGGGCGGTGAATTATTATGCGTCGATGGTTATATTTATCATTTAAGGAGTTCACAAAATAATCGCACTTACTGGTCTTGTATAAAATGCAAAGATCCAGAGCTCAACTGCAAGAGTCGAGTATCCACAATCAATGTGGATGACGAAATACGCGTCTTTAGAACCACCAACCATCATACGCATCCGGTCATTGAAGCAGATATTAAGCGGCGTCTATATAATGAAATTAAAAATGATAAAATCGAGTCGCAACAAACATTTGCGGGATCATTCGATGCTATAAATGTGAAGTACACAAAAATACTAGGCAAAGATCCAAACGTTAAAAAGGCTTTAGACAATTTCGATGCAGAAATTGATGATGCGATAGGGTAAGTAAAATATGATGCTCTCTAGATATTTAGCAAAAATTTCAATTTTTACAGCCAATTTCACGAAAGCAAACGGAATGAAAAATGATTTTAATTTTATATGGAAATTGGCAGAAAATAAAAAAATCATTTTCCATTTAAATTACTGGTGAAACCGGCTGTTAGGAAGGGCCCACAGCGGTATGTGGGTTATGGTCGAAAACAAAAAGTGTTAGGTCTTTCGATACTTTTACAAAGGCATATATCGTTACCTTAATATAGAAACGCCCTATCTGATATTTTTGTTCCTTCAAATAAATTTTGAAAATGTAGCAAAAAGCAAAGATATCTCCATAAAAGTATTGTCAGATGAAATTATGCGCAAATTAGGGAACTTATTACCAAAAAAATTATTTTATGCTTTTTCGCCAAAATATGCATTTTGTGTCATAATATGCAGTTGCATATTTTTGTCTTCCCTAGTTATTAATAATAATAGGGTGCATTCCAAAACGTCAAAATACGTCATTCTCTTTTATTTCTAAACCGCAATAGAAGAAAAAGTCTAACCAGCGCAACCTAGTTTAAAACTAGCACCTAACCGTGGTTGCGCACTTTTCGTATTAAAATCTGCTGAGGTTTAAAAATACACAAGAGACTAGGGCCGAATATTTTATTTGACGCTGTAATATTTGTTTTCAATTTCCATTAGATAATTGTGATCTTTTTGACAGATTTTGTATAAATCTGGATTCGAAATGAAAGTGAGTTAGGACCTTTCTATATTAAATTAACAATATGTATGTGTGTATGTACATATGTATGTATGTATATATATATTTCGATCGGAAAATTCTGGTTCTCTTCAGGAGACTTTCAATAAAATCTTTGCGCATTTTCATTTGAACAATCATTACTTGGCTCATTAGATATGACTAAATGGAACCACCTTTTGTTTTAAGCTGAATAACGGTAAATTTAAAATATCTCGAAAACTTATGCATAGATTAAAAAATTAACTCGATTTTTGGAATTAGCGGGCGATTCTACATACAAATTAGAGATAGTGGCGTCTGGAGAACCAAAACCATATTAAAATTTGTGATCCAGTGTTATTGTCACTATGAAAAAAGCAATTGGGTATTTTTATCGGGGATCTCCTGCAGAGAAACAGAGTTTTCCAATCGAAAAATATTGATTTTTTATACCATTGCTGCGAAAAGTTGTTTTTTTTTCATATAAAATACATAGGAAACTTTGAGCGCTTTGAGCTACCTCTAAATAATTTTTGATTTCAAAATAGAAAATAGGAGTATATATTTTCGGTATAGAACAATCGTAATGGGTAAGGGCATTAAAATTCCGACTTTAGTTTTTTTTTTTGACCACCCTAGTGTACATACATACATTCATATGTATGTACATATACATATATCTGAGTGTACATCTGCATTATATACATAGCTATGTACATGTAATTACTTGTACTATTCTAACGCCCACATTCTTCACTATTATTTATTTTTACAATGTTTTCACACATTTCTTGATGACCTGTCAAAAAAGGTTTTGAAGCAATTATTAAAATGAATTGCAACACTTTAAGAGTGTGAGCTGTGATATACAATTGCGAACATGAAAATAGCAGAACCACCATTTTTTTCTTTAGAACTTAAAGATCATTACTTTTAAAAACTTTTTAGTACTATATTTAATGCTAAAAAAATATTAGTTTTGTTCGATAACAAAATTAGCCACCAATCCAAATCAAGTGCGTAAGTGAAAATCCTCTCCAAAATTTTACGAATCCATAGTTGAGATCCTTTAGGAAATTTAATATATCGGCTAGGGGCATTATTCTCGACCTGACATTTGTTACAATCAGGGTACGAAAATAAACTATATTGTACGTTACTATTTCGTTTCGTTTATTACTTCAACAGTTCGGTACAATACGAAAACAAAACGGCTGAGTTCACTTTGGCGATAGTACACTACAGTAGTTTAGTAGTTACAGACGAAACAACAAACGAAATGAATCGTGTAGAAAAAAATATATGTACATATGTATGTACACATATGCAATAACTTAACACAAAACGAATGGCTGCAATGAATAAAAAAATAAAAATGTTTTTTAATTGAATTGGATATGAAAATTTACAGAAAAAAATATTTTTCACGTAATTGAAACGTTTGTGATATCACCCTATGGTACAATTGTCATAAACGAAAAGCAAACGTTTCTCGTTGGGGAAAATTACAGTGAATCTTACAATGTGTTTCTGACTATGTACAAAACTGTACAAAACCACAAATGATATGATGATCGATGAGCAAATGGGAATTGTTTTGTACAGTTTATTTTCGTACTCTGGTTACAATTGAATACTTTTGGATAGAAAAAAAACCTTTTTAACATATAAACGAATTATCTCGGAATGAATAATTATTTTTTCTCAAAATTAATCGTGATACCACATCATGACACACATTCAAAAATAAGATGAAGATATGTCGTTCCCACGACAGTCGGGTCTACGTAACCGGAACGACCCAGATTTATATCTGGCCAAGGACTGTCACTCCAGCAACACTCCCCAAAAAGTCTTTGGGGAATTTGTATGCTGCTACAACAACAACAACATGAAGATATGATGTAAACACTATTCGGAGTTGAACTCTGTTACAAGCGGCACTGCTATTCTAATGTTCGCAACTGTACATTTGTACTGATTATAATCAAATGCATATTTGTCTTACAAATGCAGTAACCGTGTACTTAGATTAATCATATCAACGTACATACCATGTACATACATATGTACATATATTAATGAATATTGCTTTCATTTTGAATTTCGGTTTTAATACCGCAGTTGGGTGTGCATGCGGTTAGCCTATTGGTAGCTAGTCCGAAGATCGTACTTTTGAATTTTACTTCAAGCATGAAACACCCACACACACATCCTTATTTATAACTAGCAAATACCCGGCGTGCTTCACTTTTACCAATTCAATTTAATACAATATTTCAAACAGGTGGTAACCCACAAAAATTGTTTTTTTTTTCTTTCTATATTTTAAGTTAGACCTCTAGTAATACATCGGTGAATTAGTTTTCAAGTGTTGTGCGTACAAACATATGTACATACAGACAGACTGGCAACAATTCTAAAAATTGTTGATTTGGCTTAAGTTGCTCTAATAAAAACCCACATATTTATTTTTCTTTGATATCTATAATGTACAAGCATCGGCCCTTTACAATTTTATTATATGTATAGATAAAAAAAAATGGTATTCTAATACATAGGCCAAGTAAGATTATACGAAACTTGTACTTTATTTAATGCAATATAAAACTGTGAAGTAATCCTCTTGTGCCAAAATATGAACGTATACGAGGGTAGAAGCTCGGCCTAAATATATTACAGGTTATGAGGCGTCCTGTTATTTTTATTACTATTTATTCACTGCAACCAGGTTAAAAGCTCACCAAAGCTTTAATTTTAACTGATTGTGAAGTAGCCAAATTGTACAACCCGTAATAATTTCAGTTCACCAATGTTGAGCGTTGGTAGTTGGCTACTGGCATCGCTCATAACCAGTTATAAATTTGTGGTGCTTTGAAACTATTTATAGTAGTTGAATTTTCAGTTTGAAAGGTATGTAAATAATTAGCTTTTTCTAATAAGAGGCTCGAATGCTCTACAAATAAGCAAGTTTACGTTTTGTTACTGTTACTATTTTTTCGTCACTTTAGAAATACATATGTACATACATACCAAAGCATATATGTACATACCACGTACAAGAAAAAAAAAAAAACAGAAACGCATTTTTCTGTAACCAAACAAGTGTAACATGTTTAAAAATATCCAAGACAGGACAGTTAGCACTGGTTTTAGACAGTGTCGGAAAAATGTTCATCTGATTAATGATTAAAAACTAATGGTTAAAAAATTAATCGCGATCAATTATTAAGGCTATTATTAAGGCATATCATCAATACGATTAATGGCTAATTATCTTAATCGTAAGCATCGATGGTGTGATTACGATTTAAAATTATTTTACTTATCATTATTCGTTAATCCCAATATAAAAAAAGTGATTTACTACGCTTGACCGAATTTAAAATTAAACACCAGTTAGTTACTTTTTGTGTATTTGATGCTTATAAAAATCACGTAATATATAAACAAATAATTATAGTTATTAGTAATATGACAAGACAGATACAATTCCATATGTATCTAAAAAGTCACATTTACAGATGCAAATACATATCGTATAAGAACACTTTAACTGAATTAGCGCATGGTTTTAAACCAATCTATAGAAAACCTGTTACTAAGGCTGGCTTCGATTTTAAATTATGTTTTCATTTATTTTGGCAATATTATTTTTAATTTTATGTACATTCATTTTATTAAGTTGGCTGCGCTATAGTAAACAAACTCAAATATCAGGGTTTCACGTTGTCATAAAACAGCAAATTTATTACTTTTGTAATAGAATTTTGTAATAAAGCCAGCTATTGGTAGAGTATAAATAGTACTAAACTGAATATGATACACACGTAAATAAAATGGGCTTTAACATTTTAGTATCACTCTTAGCTAAAGCTGGCTCTAACTGCGGACTATGATTATATGCTCCATAATTTTTAATCATCATGATTGCGATTACTTGTTTAATTAATTACTTGGCTAATAAAAATTAATTTAGTCATAATTAACTCTAATCCGATCAGCTTTAGTGTCAAATTCATTAAAAAATCAATCGATTAATGCCAACAATGGTTTTAGAAAAATCACTTACTATGTAATTGGAAATGTAGCAGACTTTCTGTAGGTTGAGCAAATGTATCGCAAACGATCTTCAAAGGTGACACAAAATTACATGCTAGTCGGAAATAATCATATGGGCAAGCGAGACTTTGCCTTAAGACTGAATTAGTGGTGCCATAAGCATAACCATAGCAGCTCTGTAAACGGGTATTGGTTCCATTTATAACGCCAGAGCCATAACCATAACCGTTGGTATCTATTTTATTTTAGTTTTTCGCCATAACCATAAGTAGATCCGAAGTATTTTGCTACGTTATGGCTAAGGCGTTATGGTTAATGGTACCTCTAATTTGGCCTTTAGGTTTTATCAACAAATTATATTAGGTAAATAAAAGCTCTTTGTATAATTTCAAAAATCCGAAATTTTAAGTTGTGTCTTTTGAAAATCATGTGCGATATCAAAGACATGCACAATACGAAAACTTAAATGGTTTTACACTGGAGAGCATACATTATGCTAGAAGAGTTGCGTTCCAGATGCTTCACGATTTGCAGGTGACCACCTGCCATAAGGTTTATTAATGGAAAAAATAGCTTTTCCTGCAAATCCTGTAAAAACTGTAAATCGTGAAGCATCTGGAACGCAACTAATGCAAATAGAATCTCACTTTCAATTCTTTTATACTTTTACAAATTTAGAATGACTATGAAACTGTATGCTGTCTCCGATGGACCACCATCGCTAGCCGTCCGTATGGTTCTCCAGGCTCTCAATATACCTTATGAATTGGTAAACGTTGATTTCATCGCAGGCGAACATATGACCGATGAGTATGCGAAGGTAATATAATTGGGTATATGTATATGTATGTACATACTTACATATCTGTGGACATTTGACAAAACAACTTCTCTCGAGATAAGACAATTTTCCAAAATTTCTATCATATACATGAATTTTCATCGCTCGTATTTCTGTCTTACCGCCATATTAATAGTTGCGATCCCGTACGAGTCCGGACTAGTCAGAATCAGTCAGATTTTACTGGAAATCGATCCTGTACTCGGTTCTCTGACTATTGAGAGGACAAAAAAGAGAGTAAATACGGTTCTCTCTCTGTCAGAAGTTACCAGTTTTAGTCCGAGAATTTTTTGCTGGTAAATTCTGGTAAATGTGTCAAACGATCAGCTGTAGTGTGTTTGGCTACCAAATTGTAAACAAAAGAAAAGTGCACTCTGCTAATTCATGTTGAAAAGTATTTAATTACTTGTTTAAGTGGATTCTAATGAATTTGAAAGTATTTTTGGTTATTTACATGTGTGAGCTGAGTGTGTTTACATACAAAATAAGCAAAAATTTACAACCAAAATTTGGAGGTTATGTTGAAGTTCACAGAAGTTACCATTTTTGACTAGAAAGCGATCCCGTACTTTTCAAT